CAAACAACAACACACACACACACACACACACAACACACACACACTCTCTCTCTCACACACACACACACACACACTCATGCACAGATAACAAGTAAAGATAACACACACACACACACACACACCCTAATTTGTAGTCATCACTGGCATTACTCTCTCGTTTGGTTACGATTTCCTTCTGAACGGGTAAGGACCCTGTGCTGACCATGCCCAGAGCATCACTCAGCCCACCACCTATTTCTGCTCCAATGATTGGCTCTCCGAACATATCGGTCGCATTTGATTGGACGTCGCTAGTTGTGCCGTTGAGCTTCGCGTTCGTGGGTGTGGCTGTGCGCGACGGTGTGATGGCGCTGGGACAGATGGCAGAAACAATGGGAGAACAAACAGAAATCAGGATTGGAGCGAACGATATCAGGATTAAGGCGAGCAGAAATCAGGATTAGAGCAAACCAAAATCAGGAATAGAGCGAACGGAAATCAGGATTAAAGCGAACGAAAATGAGGAATAGAGCAATCGGAAATCAGGATTAAAGCAAACGAATAAGAGGATTAGAGCAAATGAAGATGAGGAATAGAGCTGACAGCACTGAAATATCTTTTAAAAGCGTATTGAGTATTTATGCACAAGCATAGCTATACTTGTCGATGTATATACGGTGTCGGAAAGAATACACACATATCCTCACAAGTAAAAATACACACACATACGTAGCACCAACAAGTGCCTTGCTCACAAGTATACATACACACACTTTACATGCAAACACACTATACATACACACACCTTACATACACAAACACTCGACATAAACACACACTTCACATACACACACTTCACATACAAACACACTATACATACACACCCACTTTACATACACACACACTTTACATACACACAATTTACATACGCGCATATACCTAGAACCAGCACGTGCTTTGGGATCGGTGCTTTTATTCTCAACGCTACCGCGCTTTTTGGACTGAACACCGGCAGAATCGTTCAATGCGTTAAGCGACAGCTCTGGAGAAAATTGGGGATAAAAATAAACTTAGCAATATATAAATAGACATAAATAGATAGGAGCAGATGTAAATAGATACACATAGTAACAAATAGATATGAAAAGATATGAACACGCACCCACGCACCCACATACCTACTCACGCCCATACAGATAGTACTACGTACAAGCACACTCACATACCTACACACGCCCATACAGATAGTACTACGTACAAGCACACCCACACACCCACATACCTACACACGCCCTTACAGATAGTACTACGTACAAGCACACCCACGCCCCCACATATCTACACATACCCATGTAGATAGTCCTGCTGTGATAAGTTATATACAAATCCGATAACACACCCACCTGAACTCGGCGACTGAAACGGCGCCGTGTGTATCGGCGGCTCGTCAAAGTTAAAGTGCGCAGCATCCACACTGATCGTGCGGCTGGCTATGCTACGCCACGACTTCCGATTGGACGGGCCGTCCGCGTGGTAGGTATGGCCCACAGGTGCACCCAATTGCATACTCATAGGTCTATCGCGGTGAGTGGTGTACCCGTTTATCTCGTGGTGGGGGGGGGGGTTTGAGGAGTCTCGGTTGGCCGGGCTGTTCCGCCTGGATCTGTGCATCTCTGGCGTTCTGCTATTTTTAGAATCGAGCCCGGGCTTCCTCTTGCCCACCGTGTAGCTCGATACAATGTCCTGTATCGGGAAATCAATACAATACCGCCAGATCAGTTCGTTGTCGGGTCTAGAAAAGGGCCACCGGTAGATCAGAATAATAACAACAGAATATATCACACTGTCACTGAGAGTGGCTTCTTCAGCATCGAATGCATAGCCAAAATAAACGTACTAACGTATCAACCTATTTGGCACTGCCCAATGAAATGTACGCAGCAACTCCTGTGGCCTTGAGATGTCTGATTGGTTGCCCAGGTAAGCGTATCGCCACTCCGCTTGTAGTCGAACTTAAGTCGGGCTTCTCTGTACCCCTTTGGTATCATTTGCCGCACCGCACTTACACATAGTACTGCCAATCATCTAGTGCCTTCGATACGTCTGTAGCCAGCACTCAGGAGTGCCTGTTTCATGTTAGAAGAAACCTAACTCCAGCACACACGCGTGTCTAATTAGTGATAACCACTCTGAAGTAAGTACTGCTTGACAGGTGGTGCCCCCCTCAGTCCTTTAGGTCAGGGGACTCAGAGTGACCCAGCCTGAAAGATCCGTACCCACTTTTTAATACAAATTATGCAGGTGATAATATGTGCCGAATGAGCCCTATACACACATCATCGGAATTCCTACCTACACATTTGCTATCGGATCGTATCTTGTTCATAACAACACGAACCCAAATATTATTGATATGTATTCCGTTTCTTTGTTTGTATTTTGCCACATACCTGATTTGTATGCCGACGCGCACGGCCAACAAGTGGCGAACTGTGGAAATCTGTGCAATGAAGTTTTACAGCGCAGTTAGGCGGTGGAGAAATACATTTGGCCATGTGAAAAAACNTTATTATTATA